TGCATATATGTGTGCATGCTTCGTTCGTTCGCGAAGGGTCTACGGTGATAAGTGGGTGGGGTCTGGTCACTCGCTCTGCTGATGCGCATGGCTCGCTCGGTTTTTGTATATAAGAGCTGCGCTGTGCAGGCACACACACACACACGGAGATTCGTATAGCTACAGCGGCAAGACAAGGCTCAATAACTCACCATGGAGTTGTTTGCGCGAGCGAACTTTAGAGACGTGATACCCAAAGCATGCAAGTGCGCTGGAAGAAGTTTATATGAAGGAAAGCAGCAGGGAAAAGTTGAAAATATCCGTGTTCCAATTCTCGCATTGGCACACGTAACCCATAAGGCTGAAGCTGATAAAATAAAAACTGACCACTCGTATGAATTTAGACCAGCACCAAAATGTGGAAGACCTGGCACGGGTTCTTGTATGTGGAACCCAAGCATATTATTTGATTATGTTCCCATAAGTGAAAAGACCAATTTATTTCAAGGGAATTACTCATGGTGGAGCCCATACGCTCACAATTATGATCTCCCAGAAGATCACCCAAATAGAGAATATTGCATATCTCCGGCTCAAATTGCTGCGGGGATTCTTCCACAAAAAGATTATTATGTTGCCAATTACCTTAAAAATCCTCCCGAGTCATTCTATGGGGATCATGTTTTCCCCTGTAGTTTTACGGAGCTTCTTATTGCTTATGTTCAATCACGAAATAGCGGGGAAGTTTTTATCAAAATTGGGGGCACCTTGAGATACAGAGGCGAAATTTGCTTCGTTCTTATCGTTTGTACTGAAAATGATGATTTGGGTTTCCCTGCACTTCACACAAATGATGAATATTTGGAAACAAATGGTCTTATTGATGATGATGGAAGGGTTAGGAATTACAATGCAATAGCTAATTTTCATCCACGGTATATCATCCAGTGGGCCAGAGAAGATGAGGGAAAAAAAAGTTACAGCTATATAACAGCTGCCTTTGCATTTTATTATCCTGATATTTTGTTGGCAGTGGATCTTAAAAAGTGTGGTACACCCAAAATTAATAAACACACTGATGAATTTTGCTTAAAGAAAATGGGTAAAAAATGTCCCAATAATATTGGACAATGAACATGATAATGATTTAGATAGCTAAGCTGTATATTATGTTTGAATTAGTACTAGTATAATGAAAAGCACTAAAGTGCAAACCCTCGGCGAACTGCGCATGCGCGGTGCCTCTAATTGATGGGCTGGGCCTGTTAGTCTGCGTGATCTCCCGCGCGGAGAGTGTGACACGGGCTAGCTACAGTAGTATAGTAGATAGCATGCGGGAGTCGATACACGCCCTTCGTTGTGACTTCTTGCGCCTCCGAGTACACAGATAAAGCGGACCAGGTCGAGGTAAGCTAGTGCTAATTAGCATATTGGCTTGTTCACTTGGTTTTCACGCCATAACTTCTGAACGCGGCACTTTTACGAAAATCGGCATTTTTTAAATCAAGGCAGTGTAGCGCTGAACCGGTTGGTGTCGCTATTTTACCTGTTTGTTGCGCGTGGTGGCAGAAAACGTGGTAACAGACAGACGGACAGACGGACAAACCAAGTACTGTAACCCTCGCTGCGCATGCGCGCCGAGGGTTAATTAGCAGTTTAATTGATACTAAGGAGACTGTACAATCATGTGACAATATGCCTATTGTCCGTCGTCCTGCGTGCCCAGACCCAAAGACCTTTAAGATGGGGTCTGGGTACCAAAGACTAAATATTATGCCTGCATATCTAACAGAGTCAGGGGTACCATTAGTCTCGGTTCCAAGACCCACTCACAAAATGGGAAAGGCTCTGGTGACATTGGAGCACGTTTCATGATTGTGTTGAATCAACAGTCAGCACACATGCATATTAACACATTGAAAACTCAGTGCAGTAGTGTCCAGACATGAGTGAGGCAGTCACTAGACGATATGAGAGATGAACCAGAGACTGAGAATACTAGGGAACTGACAGAGTCACTGTGACCACTGAAATCCTGGAATGAACCTTCTGAATAGTCCATCAGCTTCAAAATCCTCTCTGGGGAGAGGGGAGAAAGAGCAGATTATACACATCAGTTGGTAAACTTGGTTTAGCCTCGTAAACAATGTCAGGGAGACAACGTTTTATCAGGTTTTTTTCGCTGCCTGAAATGCACCATTCAGTTACCAGAGCAGCCAATAGCACTGAGGTGTCCCGGGAGAGCGACGTGCCATGCAGTGTGGCCCAGTGGGTGCTGCGTATTTCCTGAGCACAGTCTTCTGAGACAGTACTGTAGACTGGAGACACCTCTCCAGAGACCATAGCCAGTGTACAGGGGCGGGTGCGTCTGGGTCACTGGGCTGATCTCACAGCGGGCGCAGCAGCTCATACACACTCGGCCTCAGAGAGGAGAAGACAGAGGTACTGCAGTGAGAATACGCAGTAGGGCATAACTTTACTTGTTACCAAAATCGGGTCTGATAAAGCATTCTGCTATAATTGGTGAGCCTATGAATATTATGTTTGCTTTACTTGGCCATGGAATGTAAGTTATAGGCAGATGTAAGCTATAGGAAAGTTCCCCTAACTTTGTCTCCTTTCGTGAGTCTGGAGCCATTGGGGGCAGTGGGAGGTCCAGGGAAAGAGAGCCAGTCCAGGAGATGGCAGACATCCTGGCTCCAGTCAGAGCTCCACACACTCACTCTCCTGTCTCCACTGGCACACGCCCACAGCCACAGACCCTCTCTACCTACTGACGATAGCTGGAGGAGACAGATACAGAATGGACCTTATGGACACTGCATCAAGTGTATATACATAAAACACATGTTGGGGTTTCAGGCTTCCACTCCTACCTGGTGTATATATATAGCTGCAACCAGGCCTTCCCCTTCCCTACTACATAAGCTGCACATGCAATGTCTTTACACAATAGTGTGGAAGGTCTGTGGGAAAAGGGCATTACATGCTCTCATTCGATCCCTCTCTGACCTGTACAGGCGTCCCAGCCACAGTTAAGTCGGTGACAGGAGCTCCTCTGTGATCCTGGATCACCTTCACCACTAGTCCACTGGTCACACTGCTAGCAGCCACCACTCCCTCCCCACTCCCCGTCAGTAACACCCTCCCTACAGCACACACACATTAGTACACATAGAGGTAAACACGTACGTAGGTCCTCAAACATGCTGGGAATAGTCGGTCAATACAAGATCTTTCGATTATAGTACTTCAGGGGAAATTTCTTCAGTAGAAGAAACTGGTTGCTGAAGTGTAGCTGTTGTGTTTGCTAAGTACAGGTATCAGTGGATCTCTCCCACTACTCCAGAAAACATGGGGCGAATTTTTCTTCGTTGTAAAAACCACATACTACTAACAGAATGGCTGGTATGTAGGTGAGCCCTGAAATAGACTTGGTTGATAAGTGCATTGGTAAAGTGTGTGGTATTTGTGCATAAGACCTCATGTGTAAAGAGATGCATGCACAAACACCATAATACACACAACTTAGGCCAGGAATTTACTTTTCTATGCCATGGACACAGACACAGTGTGTATATACATCATAGGTAAGTGCAAAGCACCAAGGAGAACATGTATGAAAATAAACTAATTTGACACTCTAACGCACAGATCTGTTCTCTACATGCAATACATACCATCAGCAGAGAAGGCAATCTTGGTGACTGGAGATCCATGAGGCTTCATCTTCCTCTCGGACCAGGTCCCAGCTCCCCGGGAGAAGATCCTCACACTTCCGTCACTGTAGCCCACTGCCAGGTGGAGAGACGATTCGTGGGGCTGCCCCTTCTCGTTAGTGGGGGGCCGAGACACGATCACGTGACTTTTCAGAGGAGCCGGAGCGAACGCAATGCACAAACACTCCTGGAAAAAAATAAATAATAGATGTACAGTATAGCGGTTTTTATGATGCTGATTCCATGAAAATTTGCTCCGAAAAACCTTTAATTTTGAGAGTGTCTAATAAAAAAACAGCAACCTGGTGCTATATTACAGTAAACTTGAGACTTGTATAATTATACATACCTTCTTGGGGGCATGAAAGACCGCAGTCTGTTCCAAGCTGTTCATGTTCCACACCGCACGGAGCCATCCCGACAGGCCGTCGCCAACAGTTCTCCATCACTGCAGGTAGCCACACCCACTACTTCCTGGGCGTGGCCACACACCAGTTTGACCTTTGTACCCTCCGACCAGTTGATGTACCAGACACACCCACTAGCACAGCCAGCCACACCCTATGACATCATCATAGTTTTCCTTCATCAGAGAGTACAAGTATATTATACTGTTTGGCAAGCAAAGTGAGCTTACATATAATACATAGTCATCTGAATTGTGTATCAAAACCGGCAATGCACATGCACAAAATATCGGTTAATTCACTCGCATTCACTACCAACAAATGTTTTCCTATAGTTTTTTGCTCACTAGTTTCATGTCTTGGTCAAATGAGAGAGAGAATATCCCAGAACCCAACTGCAGCTGGGTCTCCTGTGACACAGACAGTGCTGGGGCTACCTTCTCTCTCCCTCTCCCTCCCTCTTCTGCCCCCAAAGACCACAGAGCTAGTGATCCAGACACACTGCCCACTGACAGCTTTCCACCACTGAACCACATGGCTCCTGGGTGTGTGTGAGAGAAAGATTAATACAGGATAGTGGTGCATGATATTCGCAAATTAGTCAGATTTTGAAGACAAGACAAGTATGCAAATAACAATGTTCAAAGATGAAGATTTTTTGAGGATTGAAACTTACTTTCAAACATTACACATAGCGAAAAAAATTGCATTACCGATTTCATTGGGGATTGTTTTCCAAAACATGACACACTGGTTCTGTGATGTATCCCACATTGACACCACCCCTGTAAACAAACAAACAAACAAACATGAAAGACAACAACAATAAACAAGTGTACATATACCTATTGAAGACCCAATAAAGAGCCTGTTGTTCTGCCCGTAGCAAGCAGCCGTGAAATCAACCTCAGATTTCTGAGAAAGAAGCAGCTTATTTATAACTCAGAGAAAGAAATTCCAAACCTCTTTTCCTTGGACCAGATCTGACGGAATCTCCGCTTCGTGTACCTGGGGTGAAAAAAAAAACAGGTTTGGCGAGACAGACCAGTCAGTTCGACCAGTGAAACCAGTGAGAGTCAACCTACACTGTAGTTGCATGGAGGATAGATTTATGCACTACAACTGGTGGGCACCAGCATTAGTCAAATTTTTGTTCCAACTGAACACTTATGTACTAGACCAAAATGTTAGAGTCCAGTGTTTTTGTAATGTGCCATGAAAAACTGCAAGTGTGAGACTAGAGTGAGCAAACCTTCAGTGTGTGAGTCCCAGTGCCCTCTTCGAGGATCCAGAAGCAGAGACTCATGCCAGCCCCCACGGAGACGAACTCGTAGGCGGTGTGGGGGTCCCAGAGGAGGTGGTGGGCAGGGAGAGAGAGAGACGTGGCCACACCCAGACTGTAGTCGTACGTGGACCACACCGCCAGGGAGTTATCGTGATAGTCACCTGTGGGTTATGGGATTTAGAGCACTGGTTTATGGTGCTCTATGGGTTTTGTGGGGTGCGTGTGTTACACTTGATAATATCCAGTGGGTTATGAAACCTAGAGCACAGGTTCTACAGGTATTTCAAAGGAGAAAGCACTCGTAGATTTAATGGTTTAAAAAAGAGTCAAAAGCTATGACGTAACGTGGAATGGTTTGCAAAGCAACCTGCAAACATTCGGTACTAAATTATCCTTCGAAAGTCTACTATATATACCGAGAGAGAGAAGAAATCTATCGTCTCTTGAGAATGCCATACTTGTTACTGCGTGACTGTGGAACTTCAAAACCTGGAAGAGTTTGTCAGCAATGAGATTATAATTGTGTAGGACTGTGGTGGTGTTTTACTTTTGAGCATTTGTTGGCCGGCAGCTTCCATATTCTTATTTCACAGGGGGTGGAGTCATGGGCATGGCTAGAGCTGGCGAGAGCATTCCCGTCTCCCCTGACAACCAGAGTGGAGATTTCTTCGCTGTGACCTGAAGGGTGGGGAGGGAAAGAAGAGGGAGATAGAGGGAGAGATGCATTAGAGAAGGGGAGAGAGGCAGGTGAGGAGGGTGCTCACCGGTGAGATGTGTCTGCTGGCTGTTTGAGAGATCCTCTACCACCACAATACATCCACTGCTGTAGGCAAACAATCCTGCAACCAACAAACAAAATGGGGACTCTAAACACGCATGCAAAAACACACAAATATCTACACACGCTCCAACAAACACACTCACATGCAACTATTATAATGGGACTCGGCTGATCTTGTGTCGAAAAAGCTATTATACCAGGAGGGAAATTAGGTGGTCATTGCATTTTGGGAGAGGTGTATACGTAATTCACCCTAAAACTCCCCCAATTATACTGTACATCAAACAAAAATCCAAAAAGAGAGAAGAGAATTTTCCCTCAACTGACCAGTGGTAGGTTGCCAGACCACGTTACCTCTGCCCCGCCCACTCATTCCCAGCACCGCCCTCCTTTCCACCCCCACCTGATTGGGTGGAGCCACGTACAGGTGGGTCGCTAACGAGCTACGTGGTGGGTGTGGTCTGTAGTGTCTCTCGGCAACCGGGGCCGAGCGAGCAGCGACGGCCTGCTGGTCACGTGATGGCTCTGAGAGATTTGATTGGTCGGAGCCTGACTGGACCTCAATATGAACCTCATCAGTTGAAGACTGGAGAAATGGGTACTTAGAATTGCCATATACATACATACATGTGTAAAATGCTCAGTTTTCCACTCGAATGATTACTTTTAACTGTACATTTGTGCCAGTACACAAAACAATGTACATTATTATGGTATATAGATCAAATTAGCTCTGCCCACAACAGTATCTGGAGTACGTATGCGTGTGGGTGGTAGCAGTCACGTGTATAAATTACGGATAGTATCTTGAGTGGGGTGATCGTAATATCTTAACCTTGTGTTTCTTACGTGTTCAATAATAAGTTCTTCATTTCCTTCTTCCCCTTCGTCCTCCTCACTGCTATCATCTGATCCCTCTTCGCTCTCTTCCTCCTCACCACTCACACCCTCACACTTCCCCCCTCTCACCCCCTCCCCTTCCTCTCTGGTTCTCCATTCACCAACCTCACCAGTTGTGGTATTAGTCACATTCCTCAGAGCAATTCGGACGCTCTTATTCTCGTTATTGAGGGGCGCGCTGGGTAGGGGGGTGAACTGATGACTTTTGAGGGGTTCGTAATTTGTGGGGACAGGGGGTCCGATTCGGGGGGACACGGAGAGCAGACTGGTGTTGTGTGAGGGGTGAGGAAGGGAGGGAGACGAGGGGAGGGGAGGAGGAGAGAGGAAATCCCAGAAGAAAATGGCGGCAGCTGTGCTGATGATGCGGCGACCGTCAGGAGTGATCAGAAGTCGAGATATATCCTCAGAATGACCGATAAACACCTACATACCCAGTCAGAACAAACTGAAACTAAAACTCTTTCTACCTCTATTACAGTTATTACTTCCGGATGAACATGTACTTATGTATGACGCCTTAGAAAACTAAGATTGAAAAAGAGAGAACTATAGCGTAAGTAAGTATACGTAGTGAAAGCAGACAAACTACATACTTATGGTAAAGACCTGAAAGTTGAGGTCGAGGGTCATGGAGTAGTCCCAAACTTTGATGGAGTTGTCACCGGCAGTCAGGATGTGTCGACCACCACCAGTGAGAGAGATGGCCGAACAGACACCTCTGTGGACCCTGGACACCTACCAGTGGAACATAACATGACGTAATTTTAAAAGGAGAAAACTGTCGCATTTTCTTAGCAGTTCGCAAAGTAATCTCCATGAATTTAATGTAATGTAAGGAGCTGCTATGGTAGCTACAAACAGTTGAATATGCACTGTGCAACTCTCTTTGTGCAACTCTTTGAGTCGAGAACAATTTGTACTGCTCTTCTTTTGGCATACCTGACTGAGGAGCTGTCCGTTTGAGGCACTGAATTTTAGCAGAGCTGCCCCGCCTTCTTTCTCTGAGGATGACGTCACCACTACCAGCTGGTCCACGGTTGCCGGGGAGAACATAACGAGGTGGGCGGAGCTAACCGAGTTGTTTGGAGAGGGCGGAGCCATAGGAGTAATGTCCAGTCTAAGAACCTGTGCACATTGAGAGTGGGAGGGAAAGTTTACACGTAGAGAAAACGAGCCTTTTCAAAAGATAAAGAGATAAGTGGTGATTTAATGGTGTTTGTTGGTGATGCTTTATTGATGGCCTACTGACACCTTTTAGGGAGAAGTAGGCACTTAGAGGAAATTGTGAAGTAACTGATGCATAAACTGTGGCAATACGTAATGGTTCCCTGACCTCACTGAGAGAAAGAGCGTCCAAGACAGAAATGTTACATGACAGTGGTCCAATACAAGCCAGTCTCTTGCCATCTTCCGACAGAGCCATAGACTGCTGTCCCAGCCTCCCTCTCTCTTCCCTCTCCCCACCCTCTCTGGCCACGGCGTTCCCCAGTAGTCTCAGTAGGAGGACAGGGTTGTTGGGAGGAGTCAAACAGAGCCAGAGAGCCTGAGGAGCAGCAGGTGTAGAGACGGTGGCCACTGGGAGAGAATAGGACACTCCGGACTCTTCCCGGATGATGACTGCAACACAGATCACAGAGAGTATAGATAGACTGGGGGTAATTCATATGATGTACTGCGTGCTTCACCTACAGTCGGGGTATTTAGGATTTTTACTTGGGCTGTCCTTCCCCTCACTTACGCACTAAAAGTACGACAAATTTAGTGATTTACATCTCCAGCTATGGATGTTTGGTTGGGATACCACACTATTGAAATCCCACCCCCAACCCCAAAGGAGTTTCGAGAGAGAGAGAGAGAGAGAGAGGGGGGAGAGAGCTCACCGATGTTCTGCCAGTAGAGAGGTGGTGTGGGTGTGAAACAGTCTCACAGCTCCACTGGAGAAGCCACAGGCAAACACTGGCTGTGTGGGATGGTGGGCAATGCACACCGGGACCTCCGAGGATGACCTGAAGTCAAACACCTGGGATGTAGGAGAGACATAGGGGGAAGAATTATGTGGACCTGCTTGTACAAGGTACAATTTCAGTTGAGATCAATTGACACCAAAAAGCACCAGCAGAGAAGGAAAAAATTCAGCATAAAAAGTCCAACTTTGTGTCAATAAACTTTACTCTGTCGGATGTCCACAAACAAAGATCAAAGCCCCCCCATTCTATATACTGTAAAGCTAGAGTGGAAGAAACAGAGAGGTGTATGTATGAAGATGATTTAACCTGTTCCCCACTGGAGGTGTCCCAGACCCTGATGGAGTTATCGGAGGAGCACGTGAGGAGGTGTTGGCCACGCCCATCCAGACAGGTCCCCGCCTACCCATCTGGTGTGGGACCTCGTTAGTGTGGTGTAACTGTGGGTCCCTGCGTCCAGCACTCCTATGTTACCCTGCAATTACGTGGAATAATTACGACGCTATCAGTGTTAATTCTGTAGCTGCAAAAATTGAACCACGTACTTGCGCTTGCTTGCCAAAAATGCATGGTATTTGTTCTGGTATGCATGGTGAAAACAATAAAATGTCTTTAATATACTGGGTATACCCCTGTGCAGGTATCTATTTCCGTTTTTGGTGTATTACCGAAGCAGTGGCGGCCAAGATCTTCATTCCATCATCACTGACACCCACTGCTGTCACACCAGCTTCATGCTCTGGGGGAGAATTAACACAGACTGAATAGAGCCGAACAAGAAGTACACGATGCAACAGTAAAGATTATGCCATAAACTCGTAAGCTTTAGCTTTTGTGGAGAAAATGCTCACTAGTCCTGCTAATCTTTAACGCTACAATCTAACATGGTAGTTTTGTCTTACAACTGAGCCCGAAAACCTCTAAAAAGTATATGTATGTTAGAGGAGTCGTGGAGTGTACCGGCCTCAAGGAAAGGAGAAGAGAAATCGTTGGGCCAGACCCTCAAAACTCCATCTTCAGACCCCGTCACAGAGAATGCCTCGTGGAGATACAGCACCGTGATGGCTACGCCCCCTCCCTGGTTGCCTGGCAACAGGTGCCACACCCTCTTGAACGACACGCTGCTGTAGTGGATCTCTAGCACGTGTCCCGATCTCGTGCACGCATATCTGCGAGGAGACGCAAAGGCAAACATGTGTATTTGTTGGATATCCCTAGGCAACCAACAGTTTGTGCAACTTGCTGTGTGGACCAATACATTGAAGTCGTACTGCACGTGTGACACTTTTAAAAAGTTTGCACTACACTATATATGTGTGCACTCTATACTGACTGACACAGAAAGTTAAAGCTATGGTATATGTTTCACTCACACGTTTCTGTTGTAGACGTCACTGCCATTAGGGTAGCCCGGCTGGAAAGCCACGTCTGCGAACTGCATCTGGTGATGGCAGCTGTCGAGACTAACGGGACATGATCGCAGGGTTCCTCCCTTCACCCTCCAGAAACGAACATTGTCCCTTCCGCACGACACCATCCTTGGACAGACAGACACACAGTCACAGTCATATACATTGCCTCCCAAGACGACCACATTGACTAAAAACTGCAGACTCAAGTGGCTAATTGTCGCCATTCACAGAAACATTACTAAGTTATCATTGCTGCTGGTAGCTCAGTGGTTAAAGTGTTCTGCAGAGTGTTGTGGGTTTTGGGGCAGCTTATTTCAAAGATTTGTCCTGGGTGTAGTTGTGCTGTTTATATTTCTTCTGCCTTGCAACGTGATTGTTTTCCATACCTCTTTTCATCAAAGTGAGCAATCTTCACGGTGGATATGGCGACATCGGTGTGTGCCTGAGTGACTGTGGTGACCTCGGTGGGAGTGGGTGTGGTCTTAGTGAACTCTTCGGGGGTGGGTGTGACCCCGGCGGGAGTGGGTGTGGTCACAGCTGCGACGGGGGCAGTGTTCCAGAGAACGACGTGACTCTTCCCGTGTCGGTCTAGACCTACACCACACAGCAGACTGCCCGGCTGTGAAAAACTGAGGGAGATGGAGAAAGAGAATTTAAGGTTGGAAATATTCGATAGGAAGTGTGCTCACGCAGTGGGAAAAACGGTAAGAGCACAGATATGATATGCAAAAGTGAAAATATTCAGGAGGCATACAGTGGGGAAAAATTATTGCCTCCAATTGTACATACAAAATGGAGGTATTTACATCGTTATACATTAGTCCTTCAAACATACCTTACCTTACCTGATGTAATATACTAGAACGAATGCGTTGAGGTAATATACTAGAACGAATGCGTTGCATTTTTGGCGAGTGCCACAAGTCAAACCTGAGGTAGGAGAGGGAACGAGAGTGGGTCTGAAAGAGAGAGAGACAGCGAGCGGTGGCAAAGTCCCACAGTCTCACACTGGCATTAGGTCCAGTCTGCCCCGAGGCCAGGAGACGCTCGTCTCCACTGCTAGCCAGACATGATACCTGGGGTCAGTCGGGAGACAATATCAGACGACCATCTCACTACTGACAGAACCTCGGCTCCTCAAGAATCATTGGAATTATGACAGAGCGTGTATTTACAAGGGGGAGGGAGAAGTGCACCCAGGAACAGGAAGACACCTTTTCAAAGAAAAGCTGCCCTGAACCCATGATGCTCTGCCTTTCACTGATTTATTTCAGCTATTAACTTCATGTCAGTACAATACAGTTCAGTACTATTGGTAATATCAGTTGGTATAGATGTACATAATAATCACATACTTTTGCAAGTGTGCATCATTTCTTTACCGTGGCAACATACATGAAGGGTAATCACTAAAGACCTTGGCAGTGTGGCCCACGAGGAAGCGTTGTTCTCCAGATTGGAGACGGGCAATAACCACCAGCTGATGACAGGGGTACACCACACACCCCCCCTGACAGAGGAACAGCAGTTGAGAGGTGGAGTGACCTCCAAACCCAACCACTCGACTCAGCCTCATGATGGGGTCTGGCTGTAGGCTCTGGCGGTAGGGAAATTTCACAAATTCTCAAAACTAGAAGTGAAAATGCTGGATAACCAGTGCCATCCCTATATTACCCTGCGTAGTGATAGCCAAACTTCCTAGGGTGCAAGGTTTGAGGTTCTATCTAATTGACAAGCAATCCACAACATTTTCTTCCTGACCCCTATTGCCTCTATCAAAACATAATGGTACCTTTGAGGGTTGGTGGTAAAGAGTGAGATGGTAGATGGACACTATTTTGCTCCAGTCTTGAGGCAGCCTCCAGGTCAGTGTTAGTCGAAATGTCTTCTTCGTCGTCGCTGGTCTCGTCTCCTCCACGGAGAAGGTTTACCTCCGCCCCCCTCTCGACATAGACATGGACGCCGCTTCTCACACCCTCACTCCGCCCTCCTCTGTCCCTCACACCCTCACTCCTTCCACTCCTCTCCCTCACACCCTCACTTCTCCCTCCTCCCCCTCTCCTACTCGCCTCTCCACCTCTAGCCAACTGAAAGGCAAACAAAAGATCACAACTCGTAGAGAAAAACCCAGACTTACTCTCGGTCTTTTGGACCCTCTGATGTCCTCACTCTTTCTGTCATCCTCCCACCTTCCCCACAGCACCATTCACACCCTCACCACCCACACCAGTCCGACAACCTCTCTCCCTCTCTAGTTCCCTCACTTCAGTCAGACGTTCATCAGGAAATCTAACATAGTCATAGACCTCTGCAAACTCCTCAGTTTTTCCGAGGGGAAACCTCATTTCCCGTGGGAGGGGCTCCAAGTGGGCGGAGTCTCGTTCGGGGAGCGGGCTGTACTCGGCATGACTGGTAAACACACCTCTCACTAGTAGATTGGCACACAGCTGGATATTCTTGAGGTAGGCAATTCGACGTGCAGCTGTTGGCCCAGGATTGCTCTGAGATCTAACACGAGTAGTGTCCAGCGACTAGAACTCTTCCTCTTAGCTCTACCAGCCTCTCTCCCTCTTTCCCCCACCCCACCTCTCGACTACTGGCTCCTCGTGTCGAAGAAAGAGTAGGGATACTGGAGCCAAGTCGACGTGGACTTAAACTCTTTGAAGATGTTTGAGATGGAGACCCTCACGGCGATACCGGCAGTTGTGGCCACCTCGAGGTGGATTGAGAAGAATTTGGAGGGGAGGGGTCTGAAGAGGAGGTAGAAATATCGCCCGGTGAGGGCTAGTGACTGAGAGGTTGCCTTGGGCAGCTGGATGTAGTTGGAAGAGACCACTGCTCCACTGATGCGATAGACCGTCGCCTTCATGTCGCGATCCTGACCACAGCAACAACAGGGAGGGAGAAACAGAGGATACACAGTGTAACCTCTCCAACCCTGATGCAAATGGGACTAAGGAAAGTGTTTAAATTTCAGAAGACATGTTTATTAGTTTCAGGAGTATTGGCTGCAAGATACAGTTTTTTAGATCTACGTGTCTTGTGTCTACATACCATGACAGGTGATACATCTCCTTCTTTGCAGCATCTCTTCCACTGACCGACTCCGAACTGCTTGAACACGTTCACGTACGGATACTGGCAGACTAGAAGTGATGGTGCGCATTATTTAGAATATTAGACAGTAAAACCGCATCAACGGAGCATTTGCAATTAATTATGGGCTGTACTACAGGCATAAATTTACCTGACGACATGACTAGCTGGAGAGTAAGGAGCAGACACGCAGCTTTGTCAGTATTTGGCGCAGAAACGTATTCGCGGCTTTCGAGTTTCCCGCGAAATGATGCACGTGATATCTTAGCAACGGGTCCGTATACATAGCAACGAATAAACACGTGGAGAAGTCCTTTTTCGCTGGTTTATGGATCTAGATTCAATGGCAACATCGACTAGAAGACAGCCGGTGGCCCAGGGAGGAGGCCTCTTCTCCACGCCAAAACCGTCATTCAGCAAAGAGACTCAGGACCTACTGAAATGTTAGCTCTTTCTCTGAATGTTTTTTACTTACTACACCTTCTCTCTATTCTCCTAGTGATGATGCAGGAATCAAAGCTTACTAATTTTCAGCAGAGAAAACTCAGAGAGAGCATGATGGGTAAGAATAACCATAGATGATTCACTGCTGTAAGTTTATCAACTGCTGCGGCTGCATCTTTTTCCAGATGGTCAGGCTTTGCCAGCCAACTGTCCTCCCACATCTAGCAGTCCAGGTGCTAGTGGTAGAGCAGCCAGAGCCTCTGGTAAGAAGACAACACCCAGATCAGCACAGGGTTGTCTACGAAGCAAGGAGATGATCCAAAAACTGGCAGCCAATGACTCTGGCAGCAGCTACAGACCTCCACCAAATAGTAAGACAGTGGGAGAGTGTGTGGGCAGGTAAATATAACATGATTTCTCCACAGAGTATGACACAACTAGAGAGAAGGAGAGGCTGCAGAATCTGATGACCTACGGCAGGGGCGATCCAGAGCCAACCTCTGGAGTGAAACAGTCAGTGAATGAACGTCAAGTGGAAGACGAAGACAGAGACAGGTTTGAAGAAGGTATGTGATTGCTCAGTAGTCCTATTAGCAGATGGAAATGAGGAAGTCCCTTGCTATTAGTTCTGGAGGAGATTGAGGAAAGGCGGAAGTTTCTTTCGGACATGGAGGCACTTGGACAGGGGAAGGAACACCATGGCCAGATCATGACTGAAATTTCTCAGGTAAAACACAAACTGTGTTCATCGACTGAGAATCAAGAAATGATAATTCTGTTGTGTAGAGGGTGCGTGAGCTGGAGGTAATCGACAAAGACAGGACGGCACAACTCATGAACTTATAAAATTCACAAAGTATATTATTCTGCACATACAATATATAACACACTATGATGTTAGTTTTTCATTCCTCGGTAAATATGGTCTGTTGTAATGGTTAGTGAGCATTAGAGAGTTCTGGTGTTGAATAGTGGCGAGTAACTCCCTTTCTTCGCGTAAGGATTGCTCTTCCTGAAAAAAATAAAAATAAAGGTTCATCTGGGGGTCGAACCCAGGACCTTCTGCGTGTAAAGCAGACGTGATAACCACTACACCAATGAACCCCACACACGATTGCTCAGCAGAAAATTTTCTTCGTGGAACCACTCAAGGACAGCCCTGGACACCTCTATGGTAAGAACACCTTTTCTGCCCAAGGACACTTCACTAATATGGACACTTTCTTCTGTCCAATTGGTATCCGGATTAGAGGGTACCTGATGAGAAGACTGTTGCTGCGATGACAACTCATTATCGTCCCCCTCCTTATGCTTTTGTCTGCTACTGCTTGGTCTTAGTGGTTGAGGAAAGGAATGGGAGAGATCTAGCTCAGCAGTAAATGCATTACTCATCCTCCGAGTGCCTATGTTATGCACAAGAATTTCAAAAGTAAACGAAAAATGGGACAGACTTGTTAAAATCGGGGTTGGTTGGGAGTGAACGAATTCAGATTGCAAGTGATTTTCCTGATGTTCTCTACACTCGCGAGCAAATGCCAGTCTTTCCTGCACCAAGAGATTGTATCATCACATTCGGTATCAACTTCTTTACCAAGGAAACTCACCGAGACAAGCTGGCTCTCCCTTTCCTCCAGTTCTCGTCTCTCTCTCTTCACCACCTCTGCCTGCTCGGCCAGCCCCATTTGCAGCCTCTCTGCAGCCGCCATTTTCTCCCCCCCTTCTCTCTGGAGAGCCAGAGATGACTGGAGCCAGAAAAACAGAGTATTGATTAACTCGTAAGTTTACATACTTGATCATCTTCTCACTTGGTTGAGTCTGTTAGCTTCTTGTCCACTGGATTCGGCCAGGTTCATCTTATCTAGCAGAGTTGCTCTCTCCCTCTCAACCGCTAGTCTGAGCTGTTCCACATGGGCTGATTCAGATCTCAATCTGGACTCCTCCTGTTGTAGTCCAGTTGCTTCCATGGACAACCGAGCTCTCTCTTCACTCATTACCGCACACTCTGCCTCCATCTGAAGTAGGTTTCAATGTAGAATTAGAGGTTTTCAGTAAAAAGTAAGCGGCAAGGTTTGTGCGCTTGCTAAACTCACTTCTTGTCTTTGCCGTGCCACTCTCTTCTCCACCTCTGCAAATGTCTTTCGTTCTGCAGCCAGCCGAGCTCTCTCTGATGCCAGTGAGTGGCGCTCACTGAGACACTCTGACAACAGCTTCTGCTGCTCAGCCAGAAACCTTTCCTATTGACACCCAGTCACCACACACACCAAACAATCTATCTATGATCTACCACATCAAACAACACAAACAATCTCAATCTATGCTAGTGTAGAGCTAAGCTGGTCAAAACAACTTATCGTATATTTCTCACTTTGCTGTCAGTCATATCCCTTCTCTCTTCCTCCAGCCTGGCCAGCAGAGTGTTTCTCTGTTCCTCCAGAGCCCTCTCAGCAGCCTTCACCCTGGCTGACTCCTGCTGCAGACTCCACCTCTCACCCTCAAGACTCTGGGCCTGCTGCCTCAGGTGGGTCTCAAGTCTACCCACCACAGACCTCAGGAGCTCCCTATGGCTCTCCACTTCTCTGTACTGCTTCCCCAGCCTCTCCTCTAGTGCTGTGGGCATATGTGAAAGCATTTGTAGCAACTGCTGAAGTCTAGCTCCACAATAAATTGGAGTTCACCCTACCATTAATCCACATAGTTCGCTATTTGGGTTAATGATAGGGTCTTACTCCTATATAGAACTATAAGAGTATCCCAAGTCGATATGATTGTGGGTAATGAACATTGGTATAGTGTCTTACTCTTTAGGTTTTGCTGGTGTGTTAGGCTGTTTTGGTGGCTGTCATCCAGGTTCTGTCTGTGGGTCTGCTCCACTCTGGCCTGGAGTCCATTCACTGCTCTGATTGTCTCCTCCACCTGACTGCTTAGCTCTGAGAGTCGCCTGTTGGCCACCGTGCACGTAATAAGAGAGAGTTCATTGGAATAAAGGTGCAACGATTGTTTTAGGGTTTGAAACTGACTGAGTGTGGGAGTGTGCTGCTTTCAGAGCTTCAACTTCTTGTCTGTGCATGTCCTTCACGCGATTCAGGTCCATTTCATGCTCTCTTTTCATGTCAGCCACTGCTGATCTGAGGAACAATTATAGCACACTGTATCAGCTAGTTGTCAGTGTAGTGCCTGTGGATCTCCTGGAGCTGAGCTATTTCATTGGTCTTTGAAAGTCCCAGAGCCTCAATTTTCTTCCGGAGAGCCAGCACGGAATCAGTCTTGTCTCTGTCTGCCTGCTCCAGCCTCTCTCTATGGTGGGCAGTCTCAGTCTCCAGCTCCTCTCTCCATCTTTTTCAAAAGCCATGGCATCTCGTGGGTATCTAACCAGCCACAGAGGAGCACTCACTTTGCTCCTCTTCTTTGAAATGACTCTTCCAGTACTTGTATTCTGGCACTGGAGGTGAGCGGATCAACATGTTCGACCACATCTGATATATTGAACTGTATAGATTGTACGTACCTACGAGATTTATCAATGGCTGCCTGCTCTTCTGTACTGTGTGTCTTCATATTCTCCACCGAAGTCTTCAACTGGTCTCTCTCACACTCTAATCTATGGACCTACAGTATTGTACATTGACGACATAGTACAAGAAGTTGACTTGTGTTGAGTATGCTGACCTCAGCTCTAAGTTGGTCCAGTTGAGAAGTGAGCTCCAGTTCCTTGGATTTCGTAGTAGCTCCCAGCAGTTCCCTCTTCTCTTCCTCTGCTGTCCGCACTCTCTCGACCAGACTCTGTCTCTCCTGCTCTGACAGCTCCAGCCGAGTCTCCAGTGACTTCACTTTGGCCTTGACAACACGGAGAAACAAGCAATCCCATCACTCACACACTCCGAATCAGTTTTTGAACAGCTATAACGAAACAGCCAGTGATTTAGCTCTTACTGAAGAAACGGGTTTGACCAGAAGACTTGGATTTGTGTGTATTTGCTAACTTTCAAAGACTCAATTTGTGATTTCTCCACTGGTCTTGGCTCTCGAAGTGTCCGTTGATCAGCTCCACCCCTTCCTTCCTCTCCTTCTCTGCTCTGTGGACAAGTCAGAATGTTAGAGATTCTACTGTTAGTAATGGCTCTCACTCTCTCTGTTGCTTGCTGAGTCAGTATGTCTGATGTAGGAGGTGTTGCTGTACTGGTGAGCGAGGTTGTATGCAGTGGATTTGTGGAGCTTCTGTCACCCACCACTCCCACATCTCGCCTCTTCTGTCGTCTCTGCTGCCAGGGGAACACTGGATGCTCTAGTTTTGGCTCAGAGCCAACCAGTCCTATGCCGCCTGTTTTCAGAGTCTGGATCTCCTCATCTGTGGTGGTTTCTTGACCCAAGACCTCCCCGTTCTCTCTCTTCTTTCTCTTGTGTAGCTCCTTAGGGGGCAGAGAGTTTGTGCCAGCTGCTAAATCTAAACTTCCAGCAAAACGGACAGATTTCTTGGCAGGTCTGCCTGCAACTTCTGATGGAGGTTTGACTTGTTCAATCATCTGTTCAGTTTCAAAATCTTTTATACTGTCCTTGTGTCCAATCTCTGCAGGTTTTCTAGCCTCCACACCTGACATCTGTAGCTCTGAGGAATGGGTGTTCCTCCCCCTGAATGCGGGCCTCTCTGACAATAGACTGCCACCTCCTGTGCTGACGCTAGTGGGGAGGCCCTTTCGTCTGGGGCCTGATGATGATATTGATGGTGTGTAGCCACCAAACACATAACTATCTTCATCTTCTGCCTTTTCACCACCCTTTGTGGATGGATTTCTCTCTTCTTCAGATAAACTTTTTGTGTTCTCTTACTTCCTCTTGAACTGGGGATTTGGCTGGTGTTTCATGTACTGTTGAACTGATGGTCTCTGAGTACTCAAGGACCTTGGTTTTGCCATCATCCAACCCCATGCTACTCAATAAATCATCTTCCTCCTCCACAACAAACCCACTGCTAGCAGAAAGTCTGCCTTTTCCTCGCTTTGTAGCTTCATTACTATCTCTCTTTATTAATGCACTGGCTTTCTTCTCTGCTCCTGAGCCATCTAGTGTCCGAATGTTTGCCCCAGAGCCCTCTCTAGATCCACTAGCTGGTTCCAAGGCCGAGGTAATAGTTTCTGGAAGTTTCTCTGGTAGTTTAACAGGCCCTTTCCTGGACTTTGGTCTATCTACGGGCTCTTCTGATGGAGTTTTCTGTAGCTCCACCTTTTCCCTGGGAGTCTGTGACTTTGCTCGAAACTTTGGCCTATGTTTTACCTTCTCCTCTTTCTCGTCGGCCAGGAGATTAAAGAGATCATCATCATCAGACACTGCAGCTAAGGTATATCACTGGGTAATCATTACTCTTTCGTCTAAAGATGCATGTATATACGTAGCTAAGCAGAAAGTACCTGTCGATTTGTATGTCTTTGGAGCTGATTTCTTCAGAGATGAGATCGGTCGTTCATCGTTGTTTCTTCCAGCCAGATGTGAGCTGATGTTGACCCCTGGCTTTGCGATCTTTCTCTCTTGTCTCTTGGATAAGTCTGTCTGTCCTCCCAACACACTCTGTTTTTATTTGGCAAACATGTTTGATTTTTCATTCATTTTCAGACTAACCTGAGCTGTAGGAGTGGGTGTCTTACTTATACCACCCTTCCTTCTTTCCTCTACCCCTGCCTCTTTCTCCTCCTCCTTATCTTCGTCCCAGTCTCCCAGTAGACCAATGTCGAGCTCCCGCTGAGCCCTCCTACTAGTCACACTGGTGTTCCTACTCTCACCAGCCGCAGTCAGAAGGTCGTATGAACCACTGCCGCCAACTGCCATAGCTACTGCAGAAGGCGGCCCCTGCTAAGAGAGAGTGTTTATCAGTTGCTATGTGTCTGGAGCTAAGGAGCCCCACCCCCGTGCCGACTTTTTGCTTCCTTCTCTTCATTATTCGACTCGCACATGCATGCAAACTTGTAAAAACTGTAGTCACGCAAACTTACTGCAGTGGCGGGGATACGATGCATTAGGTCAAGACAAGTTTGCAGGAACTACACACGACCAACCCGATTCCACATCGAGAGGCGTGGTCTATCGACGAAACAAAGCGTGTCCAAGCGCATGCGCAAAAAGTAATTTGCATTGCATGTCTACATGTGTTGTGCGGATGATAATGAATACTGACAGATTTTTAACAGAACTTCTTTAGGAATACAGACAGATTAGTTATTCAAGAGAAATATAGTCAAGTCCAGAACTTCTTTAGCTTTCGTTGGCTCAGCAGAGCCTTTAGCTTTCGTTGGCTCAGCAGAACATTTAGCTTTCGTTGGCTCAGCAGAGGATCCTCTTGACTAATGTTAGTCGCAGCCAGTCTCCTCAGCTCCAGTGGTCAGTGAGATGAAGAGCTCAATGTCAGTACTCCACTTGGCTCCAGCTAGTCACAACTGAGCAAAGAGAGGAAAAAACTAACTTCTGTAGACAGTGCCTTTAGGCAAAGTAGTGACTCACCTTTGGAAAAGACAATCATCTTCAGAACCATCAGAGAGAGACTGTTTTCCACTGTCAGGAGTAAGCAGGTTTGCTCAAATATTAAGAGGGAGGGCGGGAGGGTAAGGATTTTTGAGCCAGTCACTCACCCAGAGGTGAGCTGGCTGACTCAATGCGACAAGTTTGGTTGCCTGGCATGACCTGTGCAGACTGAGTCCCAAGTCTTTGCTGTTGACTGCACAGGAGATGTCAGGCGTAACGGCCAAAACCCACGCGAAGGTATTGTCACATCTTTGGCCCCCTCCCTCCTTCCCATTCTTGCGCGTGCAGCACCTAAGGCAAAGCCCGAGGTCTTGCTGTCTATGAAGGCTCTTCTATCGCAAGGCTTGCGGTTGAGGCTAACGCAGGCTTGTCTAGAGGTCGGCTTCACCACATCTCCTCCCCGGCCAGACTGCACACGTCGTCGTCACCCTCTCGTTCCACCACTGGCTCACGACCAGTGCGAGGACGGCTCTCTCTCCTCCCGTCTCCTCACGGACTCCTCCGATCTGTCTTCTCCCTCTCCCGTCGGGACTCTGGGTCCCAGGGACCGCTCTCCAACATCACTCATTACACCACGGTGAAGATGAAATGAAGATGACAACAACCTTGAAGACCCGGAGGGATGAACCTTGAAGACCCGTAATGAAGACCTTGAAGACCCAGACGACCTTGAAGACCGAGACGACCTTGAAGACCCGGCAATGAGGTGAGGTGAGGTGAGGTGGTGTAATGAGGGTCGGAGAGCGGTCCCTGGGACCCAGAGTCCCGACGGGAGAGGGAGAAGACAGATCGGAGGAGTCCGTGAGGAGACGGGAGGAGAGAGAGCCGTCCTCGCACTGGTCGTGAGCCAGTGGTGGAACGAGAGGGTGGCGACGACGTGTGCAGTCTGGTCGGGGAGGAGATGTGGTGAAGCCGACCTCTAGACAAGCCTGCGTTAGCCTCAACCGCAAGCCTTGCGATAGAAGAGCCTTCATAGACAGCATCGGGCTTTGCCTTAAGTGCTGCACGCGCAAGAATGGGAAGGAGGGAGGGGGCCAAAGATGTGACAATACCTTCGCGTGGGTTTTGGCCGTTACGCCTGACATCTCCTGTGCAGTCAACAGCAAAGACTTGGGACTCAGTCTGCACAGGTGATGCCAGGCAACCAAACTTGTCGCATTGAGTCAGCCAGCTCACCTCTGGGTGAGTGACTGGCTCAAAAATCCTTACCCTCCCGCCCTCCCTCTTAATATTTGAGCAAACCTGCTTACTCCTGACAGTGGAAAACAGTCTCTCTCTGATGGTTCTGAAGATGATTGTCTTTTCCAAAGGTGAGTCACTACTTTGCCTAAAGGCACTGTCTACAGAAGTTAGTTTTTTCCTCTCTTTGCTCAGTTGTGACTAGCTGGAGCCAAGTGGAGTACTGACATTGAGCTGAATGAACTTCACCTGAGGCTGCATCCACCTCACTGACCACTGGAGCTGAGTCCTCTGTCGAGAACTTTACCAGATCCTCTGTCGAGAACTTCACTTTTGCGTCCAAGACTGAAACTATAGTTCCTGAGTGAAAAACTTACTATATTCCTAAGACTCTGCTGAATGCTGAAGATCCTCTGTCTTTAACTTCACCTGTGCATCTTAATTACTGCCGCTGAGACACTGGTCACTGATAATATGCTGACTGAAAGCCTAACTTCACCTAAAGCTGGATAGACTGGCTGTGACTAACGTTCTGGACTTGCCAGTATAGTTCTTGAACTAACTTTTTAAAATCTGTCTGTATCCCAAAGAAAGTTCTGTTGAAAATCTGTCAGTATAATTATGTATTTTTTGACACATCCACACACATGTAGACATACAATGCAAAATCTTTATTGTTTTGCGCATGCGCTTGCCCTTCGCTCCATTCACTTAATAGCAGCCGTTCGCATAATAGGCGAAGTTCTTCAAAAATTAGAAACTGTGTGCAAACCCGTAGCGTAGTACGCATGCGCACACGGCGCTCTGAACAATACACGTACACAACGTACATACACACACGTACGTACGACGTACGTACGCACGCGCGGCGGCGCGACATTAAATTAGGCGCAGCGATGCGCGCGCCGCCGGATTGTGAGCTAGGGGTCAAAGTACTGTATATACATTGGGGAAGAAGGTTTTCTGCCATGGATTCCGTTGGTATGGACCTGCAGCTCAGCGACAGAGCTTACAGTGAGTACGGAGAGGACAGAAAAGTCGGGGAAGAGTCACAGCAGACCGCGACTGTCCGTAGCAAGACGTCATCCGATGAAACTGACAGCCCCACTACCTCCTTGTCCCTCGGGGAGGCCTATGAGACCTCGACCGACCTGGCCACTAGTACAACAGTCCCAGTCAGTGACTCCCGGGTTCAGGAGCGGGCGTCCAGTAGCTCCACCAGCTCCACCTCCAGTAGTGACTCTAGAATGGTGGGGACCTCTCTTTATATCCCAGAGTTCCTTACTCCATCCATAAGCTACGACAGAGCGTCCCCACAACAGCTGCTCGTAGCTCTCATCGGCAGAGCCTTTGACCAACCTGACAAACTGGCCTCGCAGCTCCAGCAACTAGTCCCGAAACTGGCAAATTCCGAGACGCCTGTTGCAAAGTTTACTCCGTTCACCGTCAAGAGAAAGACTCTGTGTCGGGGATACTTTGACAGTTCGGAGCTGAAACAACACGACCTCATATGTCTGTGCTACAATGCCTCAGAGGCTAGAATCTTGCTCACTGGGCAAGACGGGTACTATACGGCATTGCTCAGACAAATTGAAATCCAAATGGGTAGGTTGCCAAATGCAACACTTGTTTTTGTTGTTAATTATCGGTGTATTATTCCAGGTCCAAACAAGGTTGCTTTCCTGGTGTCAAACTACAGTTCTAACAGAGCATCTAGCCAGCCGTCTCAACCTGATGATAGACCACAACCGTTGCTCCCCCCAGCCCTCAGGGAGCGTCTCAACCTACAACAGGCTCTGGTTGGCTACCTGGAGAGAGAGCAAGTGTTGGCCTGGGCCAATGAGCCACTAGCTAGACACTCACACAGACTCTTGGAGTTAGCTCGTCTCGAGCCTAATCCACAGGGGCTCTTCCGTAATTGCTCAGTGATGTGACGTTACGTAAGATCATTGCCAGTACCTTCTGCAAAGTTTAAAAAGCATTATATCTTACTACTGACAAATCGGTGTACAAAAATTATCGAATAAAAACACTCTAAACGCTAGATATCCTCTTCTTCTCTCTCTTGTAACACATCAGACCAGTGACCTACACAGAGAAGTATTATTTCCTGACAATGTTGTGTGTGTGTGTTACTGACAGTCTAGAGGGTTTTGTAGAGCAGCGTTTAGTTCAGAGTCTTGAAGTAAGTCGGAGAGAGACACTCTTTCCTCTGGGTTCCTCTTCAGCATCAGATGTAGCAGTCGACGTACTATTCCATACTCCTATATTTATTACATCACACACAAATCAATGAAAGAATGTCCACATAGACACATGCGCATTACAACTGACAATTGTATATTATATTATAGCCACGCACAACAAAACTAAAAAAACACCCAAAATCTTTCACTTTTGTTATTTCTGTGAGTTTCTGGTCCTAAAATACAAGTATGACCCCACCTACAGAATTTCACCAATAAAACACACGTGGATGCAAACTACATTATTACAGTTACTGTATATAGCAGCCAGAAAGGTTAGGTAGGAGAGCTAGTATATACTTGAGGGATGTTGTTATCAATGAGCTCAGCGATGTTGGAGGCACTCAGACTGTCTGTGGCTTGAGACACATTGTGACCTAGGTTCTTCCCCAGTTGCTGTACATACACACACACAGAGAGAGAGAGAGTGAGCTCTCATGTAGCATTGTGAGACTTGACTCACGAAAACAAACTTGTTCCGATTATTTGCCATGTCCCACAGAATACATCCTACGGACCACACGTCGCATTTACTGTCATACCTGCACCAAAAGACATTACATTGGTCATGTGACAGTAAGTACATTGGTCATGTGACAGTAGCACATTATACCCAGAGTTTGGAGAGGCCTGGCCAAAATAGCTGAGGAACAGTTCAGGAGCCATGTAGGGTGGTGTGCCTGCAAGTAATCATCAACTCCATCATAGATATTATTATAGTCGCATACATCCAATGACCATGCCTAACCCTAAGTGCATACTACTGTATTTAGTGCTGCATCAATATTCGTGTTTAGTTATTGTGAGTAAGATATATACCACAGAAAGTGTCTGCATACGATGCTCTATTCAGCACTCTGGCAACACCAAAATCAGCTGGAGTGGGAGAGAGAAAAACGGACTCTCGCTTTTTTTCACCGATTCGTTTTCTGACAACAGCTCACCGAGTTTGATTCTTCTCCTGCTGTCCAGGAGGATGTTTTCGGGTTTGATGTCTCTGTGAATGATCTTCTTCACGTGGCAGTTGTAGACTACCTGGCAGATCCCAAACAACATCTGCAGTATCACCTGTGACGGAATATAAGATTATTATGTCACTTTCAAACGATGTGGCTTTAAAATGTATGGCCTACTGTTTGGTTGAGTAGTTTGTGTCGACGACTGCGTTTGATCCACTGAAGGAGGTTGCCTCCCTCGCAGTACTCCATCACAATAAACATCTCCTTCTCCTCCACGGTAATGGTGTCATAGATCTTCACCACTTGTTCATCATTCACTCCAGCTTGAATCCTAACCTGCCCCCACACAACACACAGCACGGAAAACAACTTCTCAAAAAAGAGCTACAGTTGCAGTGTGGACTGTCCACCTCTTTTATGTTGCTGTCGTTGTACGTTTGGTGTTTGGTAGCGTAGATGGCCTTGGTTTTCTTGTCCCTCACTTTGTATACTTTGCCAAAAGACCCTTTCCCCACCACTTCCAGCACTTCAAACCGACTGGCGAACTGTTCTGGGAGCGTAGAGTTCAGAAGAGATGGGTCTTCTTTCTCTTCGTCTCTTCTCCGGCTCCTCACGCCGTCCGTGGCTTCAACCGTGGACGATTCCGCCAGGCCCATTGTTTGTTTGGTGCGCATCAATTAGAACAAGGTTGCATTTATTGGGGTTGATAGTAAACATCTTCGAAAGAGAGTGAAACGCTGGAAAGTAGGGGGGAAGCATGGCAACTCCGCAGTTGCAGACGCAGCAGTTGCACGACGAAACCCTGACGCTCCGTCCCGAGGAGAGGGAGCGGCTGAAAAAGAGGCGGCAGTACGTCAAAGACTACGACCCTCCGAAATGGAGGTCTTCCCAGCCCGACCCCGTCTCGGGACAACTCATAGAGCGACCAATGGTCCCTCATGCCAGTATCCTCCATTCACTATCCTTCAAACCCAAAAAATTTCCCAGAAAAAACACAGAAAATCCCTAACTAGAGATTCTCTCTCCAGATATTGTGTTTATAGGTCCCACAGGCTCGGGGAAGTCTAGTCTCATAGGAAGTCTGGTGCGGGCGGTGACGGAGGTGGCAGAATTCCCGGCCAGGATCCAGATGACCCTCAATCACCCAGGGGAGGACTCGCACGGGACCATCATGTGGCTGGAGACCAGGGGAAACAGAAAGGAGAGTATCCTCTACCAGGACACCAGGGGAGATCAGGTTGGCATTGTGTGTGTATGTGGTATATGCACTAGATCTCTCCATTTCTATTGAGTGTGGAGCAGATTTAAAAGAGAGGTGTGCTAGCTATTTCTATTGTGGCACTTAATTATGTACATTCAGACAAAGTGCACCTCCCATACGCAAAGCACATAAAAACAGTGGAGCCAACCTTTGTTACTGTTTGACTATAGCTGGAACATTCATATTGACCTTACCGTATCACTTTATGCAGTAGACTGACTCTGTAGAAGTGACAGTGCAGTTTTGCCCCATGGGAATGCAATTCACTGGCATGTGTGATTGTTGCGTGCAGGAATATGACCAGGTGGAGCAGTCGATCCATGAGTTTGAGCTCCAGGGGATGTATCGCGACGGGGCTGAGCTGAAAGCCACCACTTTCTTCTCCAAGGACTGGTGGCTGTCTCGACGGTTCTTCTGGGAGCAGAGCCTGGCAGAGGTCCCCCACTGCGTGGTGTTTGTGTTCGACGGATCTTCAGACCCGTTTCTCGATCAGGAGAGCCTCGAGTTCTTCCAGCAGGTGTTCAAAGACTGCACCAACCACGGTGAGCTACTACACCTCATCTCCTTGTTTCACTCACTTTTTTCATTCACGTCTAGTTATAGAGGACACCACTCTATGAAGGACGCTTTTTTCTGCTCCAAAATTATACATTAGTGTAATTTAGTCCTCTGAATATAACGTACACTTTGGGTGTCCCAAAGTTTTAGTTTCACTATTTCCCGCTCCCCTCTATTCCCTCTGCTGACTCATTACGTGTACCCGCTATATCCCACTGCACAGGCTATGAACCAATCATAGTAGTGACTTGTCTGGATCTAATCCACCAAGAAGCTCTGAGGCAAGGTTTCAACTTTGAAGTGGAGGTGGGACACAAGAAAGACAAGGTCCTGCAAGCATTCGAGGACCTTCACCTCACGCGACAGAGCATCTACTTTGTCACAAACTTTCACGAGGGTAGGCGAGGTGTGAAGGTGTGGGGAGAAAGAGATAGGGGATTCGAGAAGGCCACCAAATGTATGGTGGACCTGGCTAGGGACATGCTGACTGTAGCCGATAGGTTCATAAAGAGAAAGTATACCAACGAGTCCAGGTGTTGTGTGTTGTGATGTTTAGAGTGTCTTTGTGGTTTATATTGTGTCAAATAATTTATTAACCATTGAAATTGTTTGTATAAGAATGCCCCTAGTCATCACGGATAAAGATTGGTTTTGGTCTTCCTGCCAGCTCGCTTAGGATCTGCACTGAAGTTGTACTCAACTCCCTATATAGAATATCGTTCATATCAAAAGGCAAGATAATGTGTATTAACTCACTGATGTTGAGTTAGCTGGTACTTCGGTAGAACGACTTCTGTGCAGAACTTGAGAAGTTGCGTCTCTATTCTGGCCATTCTGAGTCTGTTTTCTGCCTCTACCAACTGCAGTAGCTCTGTCAGTGTTGAGTACACCAGTGGTCCATTGTCTGGAGTCCGCGACGCAGAGCGTTCTTCCCAACTTGTACTATTTCTTGTCTGAAGACGAGAAGTATCTCTAGAAGTCTCTTGGTTCGTTTTGTCCATTGTTGCATTTTGCTGCTTGCTCGATTCAGTAATGTCTTCAACTGCACTGGCTCTGTTGACAATTGCTTCCAGCTTCTCTCTTGCACTGGTTACATCTGCCTCACCACCTGCAAGATTGAGAGGGCTTGATTATCTTTGCAGATAATTTTTAGCCTACCCAAGAGATTCTTTGCTTCATCTGTCAGTAGCTTGTACTCTTGTCTGGCTAGCTCCAGTTGCAGAGCTCTGTGAGACACACAACTACCCTGGGATCAGTTTAAGAGAGTGTAATAGAGAAAGATCCTAGATGAGTATACTAACTTTAGGTAGTAATCTGTTGACAAAGTGTTGTTTCATAGCTGCAGTAGAGGGGTCAGTAGTGGTCTGGGATGAGACTTGGTCCCGAAACCTAGTATATAGGAGGTGCTGTGAGAGTATTTCATAGAGAGAAAGATTCTCCTTACCTCAGTATGGTAGTTTGGAGTGCAGTGTATTTAGAAGGCATCCGCAGTTTTGACCTGCAAGACAGTTATATAATCTGATGGATATACCGTACGATGTGCTGATATACCCATCTCTGCTTAGTTGGAATTGTGTTTCCTCATCTTCCTCAGCATCTTCATGATTAACTGACGAAGTCGTTAAAGATTTGGTGCTCGATGAAGCAACTTCCATCATTTTTGAAGCATTCTCCAACCTCCTGGGAGCCAGTGAGGATACTGGACTGCCTTTTCTCTTGTTCTCAGTCCCACCACCTTTGTGCCTCACTACAGCTACATACTGGTAGTTCCGTCTCACTTCTCGACTTCAATGAGGATGGAGTGTCTGAAGTGACACCAGCAACTTGTTTTGGAGTAGTCTTTGATCCAATAGCCGTTCTTGATGCACTGCTTTTCTTCTTTGGTCTGTGATCTGTGTGTGAGGTAGTTATTGAACTAGGGTTGGCATCTTTAGTTGATTTTCTGGGTCCAGCTTGGTATACTTTTGCAGCTTTCTTGCAACTTTCAGTGGCAAATCTTTTTTGGGGTGGCTTGTCATTTCGTTCTCTTGGCTCCTAAGACAGAGAATAATTTAATTTCGACACACCGCTAGTAGCAGCATTATAACCTCATCCGAGAGCTTTATTTTCTGTGCCTTTTTCAGAATGCTATCAAGAATTTTCAACTCAGGGAGAATCATAATTTTCATCAGAAATTGCTCCAACCGTTTTTGCAACAATAGTACCTAGAAAAAAGGTTGAACAATTGGAAACAAAATGGAAAAAAAAGCTCCCATGCGGGGAATCGAACCCCGGCCACGGCGGTGAGAGCGCCGGATCCTAACCACTAGACCACATGGGATCGGTGGAGAACGGCAGGGTAATTTCATGTTTTATTGCGTACTAGGCTCTGCAGTTTGTACGGAATCCTTCTTCTTCTCCATTTTTGAAGCATCGGTCGCTTTTAGCAGTCTTCCATCTCTTCCCAGATTTGGCCTGGATGGGTTAGGGAGTAGAACATTCGTTTGAGACACAGAAAAGTCGACGCACTACCTGCACGACGTTCACAGGCTTGATAATGCACTCACCAGCTTTCGGTAAGCTTCAGACAGACGTCTACGAGTTGGTCGTACTTCAGTCTCAACAGCTGCAGCTCTCTGAACAGCTCAGAGAGCTCGCTAACCCTGCCAGGCGTCCCGCCTTCTTCGTCCATGCTTCTTACCTCTAATTGACGCAGCCCATAACAAATTACGTAAAGGGCGTGCGTGCGTGCCTTTGCCAGCATTTGCATGCCCGGGCGGGCAGGGATAGGAAAGATGGCCTCGTCCAGTGGCGAAAGAGCGAACAACACGCAAGGTATTCGTATAGACTCCAGTCTAATATCCACAGGTAAGCCTAGATCTCATGAAAAAGAAGTACAATGAACGGGTTGTGGCTTTCTCGTTCCCAGCCTCGGGTGGAGAGGTTGAGAATGAGTTGGAGGGTCTCGGGGTGAGTGTGTTTGACCAGGGGACGTTTGAGGAGGGGGTCATGAAGCAGCTGGATGAGGTGGTGACCCGCCGAGCTGCCGAACAGCGAAGGAAGTTTCTTGTGAAGAACTATGCCCAAGTTCAGCAGGAGAAGAGGTGAACTACATTCTCCCCGAATATTTCAACGGTGTCTATTTCTCCATCTTCCATGTCGTGATTTTCGTAGTACTCTTCGGCGAGAGCTGGAGGCGCTGTCAAAGAAGATAGCGTCTCTGTTGTCTCGACCGCTGTGTGACGTGGTACTCAGCTTGAGGGAGATGAAATCAGCTCAGGAGCAGAAGGTAATCATTAATTAATTAGGAGCAGAAGGTAATTATTAATACACGCACACAACCTCCTAATTGTAGCTTACTTACCACACACAACAACAACGCAGCTATAAACTACTTAGAACACACAACAGCAGCTATAAATATGTCTGTATGTGTGTGTGTGTGTCTGTCTGATAGAGGAAGCAGATGTCACAGTTGGAAGTGAGGGAGCGAGAACTGGCCAGGTTGATATCTGGGAAAGACGGATGGAATGGAGGTATTATCATTCCTAGCTCTTCAAAACGTGAAAATTGATTCCCAAATCAAAGTGAATTGCATTTTGAAACACCAAACCATCTTCTCAGTATGGTGTAATGTGGGTGTGTGATTCGTGCAGAGATTGCTGGTGAAAATGGTGGTGTCAGTGACGCAATGTTTGCCATCCCTCCTCCTCGATGTTGACCTCGGAGCAACTGAAACTAATCCAGACCGGTCACATGACCCCGTTCGGAACTTCGGAACTGACCACACCCCCTCAGCAGGACCAGGAGAGGAGCCACAACGATCCGGGTCTCTCTCAAGATTCCGGAAATGCCGTCGCTTCGAGCTCTTCCTCTGTCCCCAGTAGTTCTGGTCTCAGACTGTGCTCTGAGGGTTTCGACGGACTTTTTGACAATCCAGCTCCGTCTCCTCGTAAAGTAGTCAGAAAGAAAAGTCGGGTGTCTCCAGTGGCCGGAGAACAGAAGAAGACAAAGAAAGGGAAAGACAAGAAGAGGACGGATTCCGTGGACGGTGTTGGTGATGGGTGTGAAGGTGAGGGTGTGAGAGGAGGGGAGGAGGGAAAGTGGACTGAGTGGGCCCCCACGAGAGAGGAGGTGGAGGCAATGGAGAGAGAGATGGCGGAGGAACAATGACTGGGAGGATAAGGAGGGAGAGGAGGGAGAGGATTCGACTGACTATACAACAGATGAAGAGCTAGGAGCAGGTATGTGAGTATCACATTGCCATGAATCACATGTTTCATTGCAAGGCAAGTGGAATAAAACATTCAGTGAAAACCCAGGACAACTGTAGTAATTTCAAAATAATGTGCCCCGGATTAATTTTAATCCACTATCATACTGCAGTATTGTACATACCTGCCACATTGTAGTCTTACACATGAAAAAGAAGTTCACCTGAGCATTTGGGAATGCATCCAAGTCAAAATAGGATTTAGTCACACCAAACCTTTTGGAAGCATTTAATAGCTGAAACGGGGTCTTTGACTTGATGTGTATGTACTGTACTGTACATTCACTGTCTTGTGTGATGTATTTCTCACCAGAGCACGTGTTGGGTAGGAAGAAGACAAAGAGGAGAAGGAGGCCGTTGTCCAGTGGGGAGAGCGAGGATGGGGAGGGTGAGGGAGGGAGGTTGGAGAGGAGGAAGAGGAGGAGAAGGCTCTCTCAGTCCAACCATCACCTAGACGACGGAGATGAAGAACTCTACAGACTCAGAATGAGGTAACTATGATGTAATGCTAATTTGATGGGTATGTAATACAGTGGCATATTATTAAGGGCTCGATTTAAGATACATACAGTTGTATTTCTGCAATGTGCCCTCGTGCCTTACATACTGTAAAGTAATTAAAATGCCATAATGTTATTATTATTACACAGAGAGTGTGACATCACAGATGACCCCATGACCTCCGATAAGGTGATTGACGGTCGGCTCCGTATCCCCGGCTCCATCTGGTCTCGTCTCTATGGTTACCAGCGGACGGGGGTCCACTGGCTGTGGGAACTGCACTGTCAGCAGGCAGGGGGTGTGGTCGGAGACGAAATGGGACTCGGGAAGACAATTGAGATGATTGCATTCCTCACCGGCTTGAGAGTCAGTAGACTCCGGAGTCATGTGACCAGGTGTGTGAGTCATGTGACTATAGGTGTCGTGTCATGTGACCTCACCTGCAGGGAGCTGGGTCTGGGTCCTGTACTGGTGGTGTGTCCTGCGACTGTGATGCACCAGTGGGTGTCCGAGTTCCATACCTGGTGGGCCCCGTTCCGTGTCGCCATCCTCCACGACACGGGGACCTTCTCTAGAGGACCAAAATCAGCCCTCGTTGCCGACATCACTGAATGTAAAACACTCTTTCACACTGTATGGATGAACAATTTTAGAGCCATGTGCAAAAAATTGTTTCCTGGCAAAATTTTTGGTGGGGTAGCTAGCTACCTGTAAAGCTACAGAGGATTTTCCGTTGAAGACACTTTATGTAATGCGTACTCCGTGGCCTATACATGTGCTGCCTGAATTTCAAAGTCTGTGCACTAATCCTCCACTGTTTGCGAAGGTGGTGGTGTCCTGATAACGACGTATGCTGGGGTGAGGATCTATCGCGACCATCTCCTCCCGTGCAAGTGGGACTACGTCGTTCTGGACGAGGGACACAAGATCAGGAACCCCGACACCGAAGTCACTCTTGTCTGCAAACAGGTCTGTAATGGCGTATATACGTAGCGGGAAATATTTCTTATAGATGACAGATTTTGAAAGCAAAAAATGTGCATGTGGAGTGGGAAAATTTCTTCTTATAGATTGACAGATTTTGAAAGCAAAAAATGTGCATGTGGAGTTTCTTCTTATAGATTGACAGATTTCGAAAGCAGAAAATGTGAAAACCTAGTAACCTGCAGACCCAATGCATTACGGAGAAGCTAAGGGGTTTTGTAAGTGTGCATTAAGGGGCCGTGGATAGTGACACACCAAAGAACCAGCATACAGCACAACTAGAGCTCTTGTCTATGTTCATTTGCACAAAACGATGGGATGAACCATCCGTATATGTCGGTGGCTCTCTATTCAACCGTCTCTCCACCCCCAGTTCGCCACACCTCATCGGATCATCCTGTCGGGGAGCCCCATGCAGAACAACCTGCGAGAGCTCTGGTCTCTGTTTGACTTTGTCTTCCCCGGGAAACTGGGGACGCTGCCCTGTCTACATGGAGCAATTCTCCGTGCCCATCACTCTCGGGGGATACTCCAACGCCACTCAGGTCCAGGTGGGTGTGGCCAATGTGGGCGGAGCTTTTAATGATCACACAGGATAATAATTGTATAGGTGCAGACAGCATACAGATGTGCCTGCATTCTGAGGGACACCATTAACCCTTATCTCCTGCGTCGACTCAAGGCAGACGTGAAGATTCAACTACCCAGCAAGAACGAACAGGTTCCCCAGGCATTATGTCATGCTTATGTAATTCCAATTACATCATAATGATGTCATGTTCGGGTATATATACGCAGGTGTTGTTCTGTAAGCTGACAGAGTATCAGCAAGAGTTGTATGAGGACTATGTGACGGGGCCTGATGTGGCGGCCATGCTGGTGGGAAGGAAGAAGGTTGGTTTGCCTCTCCCTCGACCTTTCTCTCTTTCTCTCTCTCTCTAAC